AGCATATATAAGCTACAGAAAAGAGACACAAGACATAAGTTCTGGAATGTTCCTAAGATCGGCTGTGCAGGTGCAAAGCCCCATTTATGTGTATACAAAGAGACCATGATGAAGAACTGAAACTTCTTACATCTGACATTTAACCCTCTCAGCATCTATTAGCTGACGCTAGACACAATCTGTCTGGTTGTACATGTTCTCTTATGCAAATAATACAGATCATTAATTCTTATATATGTACACAAACTCTGGTAAAACACATTTAACATTTCAATTTATACACATACACACATATATGCAAACAAGCAAACAAATGCTGGTTTGCATAGTATTTACATATATTAACAGATGTGTGTGAGAAATCCGAATGGGTTATATGTGTGCATGTATGGATACCTGCATTTCAAAAAATGATATTAAAAATGTCCCACGAAGGGAAAACAGTTGGGTCTTTGAAATGCACTTATAATTGAACAACTCGGGACCAAAAAAAGGGGGAAAGGATGAAGACAAAAGAGGAGAAGAAAGAGGAAGAGTGGCCCCACTTCCCACCACATCACAGTTTACAATAATGTGAAAGAACTGCTGACGGTAACAGTTATTATCACTGCATGAGAGTGCAGCGGTAGGTACTGTGCAACAGAGCAAATCAGAATTCCATAAGGCAACTCAAAAAACGGGGGCATCCAAAACAACAAATTTATACAGCAACTCTGAAACTGGGCATGATATTAAATTCAAATTTGGCACAGATGTAAACTGACAGTCTGTCCTTGCTTTGTGTTAAATCTAAGGCATTTGGGCAAATAAGATTTGAGTTAAGATTGTTTAAATGTAAAGCTGTTTCACCTTGTGTCCCTATGCAGACACCAGTGGCCTTTTCTGTCTGCAGATTTATAATAAGTCAAGATCAAACTTGCTTACCTTGAAAGAGAATAGTCAGTGTGTGTGTATGTGTGGGGGTGATACAGACTTTGAAAAAAGCCTTTCAGGAATGAACCTCTGAATTTCTGGCTTTCTTTCTTATAAACTGGTTATCAGAATGAATGTTCTCACATAAACATTGAGAGCAAGAAGTGAGATTTCAACTTTTGCCCTTGCCAGCCAGGACAAAATTAAACAATTCTCAAGAGGATAATTTTTTAACTGCTTTGAAACAGATATTAAAGAGATTCTGTTTCTGATGTAAAAATATTGTAAAAGATATTTAGAAAATAGAGAATAAATATTCAGAAGCTCGCTCATTTAAACTGTGGAATTACAGTTTTTTGCTTTGTGGCTGGAAATGGTCTTACTTGATATTAGCAGAGCTTTGGTGCCTCTTGGACCCACCTTATCACTATATAATTGTTTGGTAATTAAGAAAAAAAATCTAAATATACCATGTGTCTTCAAGTCACTTTAGATGTGTGGTGACTATAGTGTATGACTTCCGAAATGTCCTGTCATTAACAGTTCTGCTCAAATCTTGCAAACCAACATCTCATGTTAGGTTGTTTTCTCTTCCTACTCCCGCCCCACTTACTAACAATATCATCTTTTCCATTAAGTTCTGCTCATTTCTTGCAAACTAACAGCTATTGCTTCCTTTATTAGAACAATCTGCCTCATATTAGATCTTCCTCTCTTCCTACTGCCTCCCCCTTTCCCAGCAATATTGTCTGTTCCAGGCATTTCTGTGTTTCTCTTATATGTGAAAGGCAGGATAGGCTCAGTTTAATCATTTTGCGAGTTCAGGATTGACCTGATTGAGTTACCCACCTTTCGGCTTTTTTTGGCTATCTTTTGTATCTTATGGCTCTCCTCCAACACCACATTTCAAACTTCAAATGAGTTGGTTTTTGTCCCTGCCTATATACACTGTCTTTCTTTCACATAGTATGGATGATTTTGACACTGGTTTCCTGTGACATTATTTGTTAACTCCCTTCCTTTTTTCATTTGAAAAGGCACATTTGTCCATAATACAGGTTTTCTTCTTCAGCTTGCCTAACTCAAAGAAATACTTTGGAAATTGAAATATAGTTTTCTAGTCTGCATTCGGTGGAGAGGGCATGGCAACATTAGCTTACCCAAGAGGTTAAAGGGTGTGCATTTTCTCCATTGGATGTGTTGTACCTACTCACGCCATTGCTTCACTGAGGTACTCTCTAAGCTGGGTATGTGCACATGCACATGCCTCTGCCTCACTCCATGCTGTCTTCCCCCTCCGCGCAAGAGAGCAACAAAGCCCCACCCAGCGGAGCTGAATGTTAGAGGGTATATTGTGCTTCACCATTTCATTAAGTCAAAAACAGCCCTTCAAAATATTTTTGCACAGAGAGACTACAGCCACATCTCAGCTGTTCTCACTGATGTCTTCTTCCAGGAAACATAGTACAGATCATCATGTGCTCATCTTATGGAATTCTCTAGCACTGGATAATTCTATATGAGGGAAGTTCCTGTTGGAATTTGTGTGTAGTATATATATATTTAAACTCCCATTTTAAAGAGCCAGGGAATTCATTTCTTCAAAGAACCTCTAGTTTATGAACATGGGATATTATGCTTCTGTAGCCATAATTCAAAAAGTGAGGAAATTGCCTGATATTGCTGCCCAGTATTGCAGCCTGCATGTTTGCAAGACCAATGGCAGCAGTCAAACAGTCTACAGTATACCTTCTTCTCCTCACTACTATTCACAGATGTTGAAAAACAGCCCTGACACTTACTTTGTGTTTGGGTGAGAAGTGGTTAACTGATGAACAAAGGAGTCAGCTTCTGGGATTTTTCCTTCCGTGGTGTCACTTTGTGAATGGTAGTGAGCACAAGAGGGCATCCTGTACACCATCTTGACTGCTGCCACTGGTGTTGTCAAAATTCAGGTTGCCCTTCACTGTGTTAAAGCGTGACATCTTTTTTCCTGCTGGAAATGTAGGCACGATATTGTGCAGCAATATTGGGCCATTTTGTGGCATTTTGAATTGTGGATATAGAAGCAAAACATTGCACATTCATGAACTGAATTTTTTTAAAAAAGAACTTAATTTATTCAAATCTTTTAAGCTTTTCTTTCAGTTTCCCTTATTGCCTCCATGAGACTGTTCTCATGCACAACTGTAGAATGACTTAAAATACAAAAAAGTTTTTTAAAAAAAATAGCTGCAGTACAAGTAATTTGACTCCTGATCAACTTAAATAAAAATTAAAACATAAATATAATATGTATTCTTGAAGGCTTTCATGGCCGGGAACTTGATGGTTGTTGTGGGTTTTTTAGGCTCTTTGGCCGTGTTCTGAAGGAAGAACAACCTTCAGAACACGGCCAAAGAGCCTGAAAGACCCATCACAACCATAAATATAATAAAAAATTAAAAAAGAGAATAGGAATGCATACTACATACACACTAAATATGTGAACAAGCCAGACCTCGGTTCAATTCAAGTAGGTTGGAACAGCCAGTCCTGTGAAATGTGTAGACTCCAAATGGGGCGTATATAATACAGAGTGACACAGGCTCTCCTGCCACTCAATTTAGGAAAAAATGTGTGCCCATGGACTGAATGGGGACTGGCTGTTGCCACTTGAACATTCACACACATTTGTTATCCACAAATAACAAAAATCTGAAGCCTACCTGCTTAGGTCACCAAATTCTCAGGTGTAAGGTCCAACAAACCACCTCATCCTTGGAACCTATTTTAAATAGATTCCAAGAGATTGAAAATTCTGTAGATTATCCACACCTGACCATCCTCTCTTCAAGGAAGAGTTTTGTAGTGTGGAACCCAGAGAATTTACAGCATTTCATCTTTAAATTATTATTTTTTCTGGACGTTCAAAGATACAAGTTTAAAAATATTATGTATTCTTTTTACATAACATGTTTGCTTGAAAGCAAACAAAAATTATGCATGGTCCTCATGGACCATGGATAAAAAATGCATTCATATATACATTATTTTGTTCCTTTTCACTTCCTTTGTGTCTAAGTTGACAGTGCTATACATTGCAAAATGTCATGTATAGGTAGGCGCTTGGACATGAACATAAGGAACTTCCTTACATCACCCATCTGCTATCTATTTTGGTAGTGCCCAGGAACTCAATTTTCTGCATGTAAAGTACAGCCAGCGTGGTGTGTAGCAGATGGAATGTTGGACTAGAATCCTGGAAACCTTGGTCACAGAAACTTGCAGGGGATAGCATTGTGACACTTGTTGTTTAGTCGTTAAGTCGTGTCTGACTCTTCGTGACCCCATGTGTGAAACTGTGAAACTAGGCCTAGAGTATCAGAAATACTGTATATATTTTTTAAAAAGGCAAAAGCATTGTGGCACCTTAAAGACTATTATATTTTAATGTAAGCTTTCATGGACATCAGACATATGAAGTGGAAAACGGGTTTAAACTGTAGATAATTCCTGCCAGACTCTTAAGAGTCAGTGGTGTCTGTTTCCATTTCACATGTGCCATAATTTATGACCTCTGGTTCTGTAAACATTCCAACAACAGACACAAAACTAGACGAAAACAGAGAGAGAAAAAAATAAAACTGTTTTTGCTTCTATCATCTCCCAGCAACTGTAGTATATGTGGATTATGTGCTCATCTTGTGAAATCCTCTAGTACTAAATAAATCTATGTGAGGAAAGTTTCTGGTTGCACATAGTGTATATATTTAAACTACAAAGCACAATATCCCATAAATGTAAAACAGAGGGTTTTTTTTTTTTTTAAGGATTGAATCTCTTACTAGGAGCACCAAAACTGTCCTGGTATTTGTCAGTTCATGTTCAAGTCACCAGAGCCTTACACTGCCATTACTCAGAATCTTTGTTTGGGTTGTGTTACCTGAGGATAAAAGAGAAAGAAGTGACATCAAATTTACACTGAGAAAAACAAACAAACAGGTGGGATCCCTTTGAAGATATGACTGGAAGGAAGGGCAGTGGGAAGGAAGAGGAAGCTGAAAAATATTTTAATTAAAAATATTTTATTGCAGTCAGAGGCTCAAATGGTTATGCATTCCCCTTGGCCCATAGTAATAGGTTCCTTCTGAAGGAAGGTCAAGTAGAACACTGTCAGTATGTGAATGCATTGTAGCTGCGTCTTACCAGGGAAGAACTTTCCCCTCCAAGTCAACAAACGTGCCACTGTCTTTCTCAGAGAGTTGGAAGAGCGTATCCAGGATCTTCTGAACACCCTCCTCCACTGTCATTGGAGCCTGCCTCTGGAAAAAGAGAAAGGAGACTGACACAAGGACTTCCGGAAAACACAAACCACGAGATATAAATATGATTTTCAATCTGCTCAGAGCATCACATCCTTGCACCAAAAGTTTGGAGGTTACACATTGCATTGGAAAGCATTATTTTGCTAACAGATTTTCACAGTAATAAGGTTTGGAATTGCAGTGACCGTGGTTGTAATTTACCAGTTTTCAATGTAACACAAACTTTCGCTGTTACTTATTACTTATCTGAACAGTAGGTCAGACATTCATAGATGGGCCATTTACAACAATTACTAATTGGTCAGCACACGGACCCATCTTTCATTCCATATTCCTAATATCATTGAAGTGTGACTGGAAATAAAGTATTAGCATACATAGGATCTGTGGCTTTGACAGAACTGCTAAGGTATACGCAGGCAAGGGGACATGGTAAATGTGAATTTCCAGAGAGTCAGAGGAACCTGTAAAGTCCAGCTTTAGTTTCTCACAAAGAAGGCAGAGAGGAAGGTGGTAGCTCTGCTTGAATTTTATAAGTAATTTGACAAAATCCTGTTGTGTAAAATCACAACAATGTAAAATGAATTGCATGCTGAAAATAGTTAATTTATATTAATTGAAAGCTTCCTATCCCACACCTCTTTTAGCTTCTGAGGCTCTTTACAATTTTTGCCCTGGGGAATCCTTTGGAAGCCTTGGAATGAGGTGGTGGGGGAGGCTTTAATAGTAAAAATTACTGTCAGGTCCCTACTCCTCGTACCAGGGAAAAAGGAAGCTTTAGGGAACTTGTAATCTGATGCGTCGGGGAGATAGGAATAGTTCTATTACTTTAAATTAATTATTTCAGGTGCCAGATGTAGTTTATGCCATCCCTTTATGCAATAGGATTTAATCCATTGTTGGGTTATGTGGAGTCAACAAAGCCTACAAAAAGATATTCCATATTCAGTAGACAACTGGCCATGGATTTCCCAATAGCTGTCCCAGTAATGTGTAATACTATCATGAAATGTGAACAAGAAATGGGAATGCACTATATTTGCAGATAGTAACTGTAGTGATTTCTTATTGGCCAAAAACAATGAGTAAAACAGCAAGTTTTTTTTTAAAAAAATCATTTTAAAAAGCTCTGCTTCCACCAAGTTCTGCTATAAAAGGCAAACAACAAAGTGTTATTGAAAGCTGCTGCACATTCCATGCCTGAGCACATTTCGAATAAGTGCTGGAAATGTAAAAACCAAGAAGGAACCTATTACCACACATGGTGGACATGTGATATTGCAAAGAAATATTGGGTCAAAATGTATACATGGATTAAACAAATGATTAAGCAAGAAATACAATTTAAACCAGAAACTTTTTTATTGGGATTAATACCAAATAATATAAATAAGCAAAGTTACTACTTAATATCACATGCCCTTACAGCTGCTAGATTAGCATGGGCACAAGTATGGAAGGAGGGAGACCCACCAAAAGATGAATTGATTATCAAAAAAATATTAGAGTGCACAGAAATGGATAGACTTACAAAGAGACTAAAAGGGCAAGAAAAATCAACTTACTATGAAAGCTGGAACATGTTCTACGAATAGTGGAAAACAAAAACTTTGTAATAAATAGAAAGTAAGTGACCAAAAGGAATAATGAGGAGAAGACACTGCTGAAAGAAATGTGTTATTATACAAAAGGCTTGTAGGCTAAGCTCTACAGTATGTATCGTTTGTAGATAGAGACTTAGGCATATGTGTGTATATATATGTCTATGTATGGATATATGTATATATATATTAAAAAATAAAAAAGGAAAAAAACACAAAGCGTTATTGAAAGCTGCTGCACATTCCATGCCTGAGCACATTTGGAAGTGGTGCAGATGCTTGCAACCAATTGACAAAGACTTTGTAAAATATCATGTAGCAAGTGCAAACCAGTAGCACTATTAGGAGAGAAAATGAGGGAACTAGAGAAATGAGTGGCCACACATAAGGGTATATGGAGTGTACAGTAGGACAGTGGTGTCTGCCTGGGATAAGTTCCAAGCCCCTCCATGCCAGAAACTATAGATATAGCAAACCTTATATATAAAATCATAGAATCAGAGAGTTGGAAGAGACCACAGGGACCATCAAGTCCAGCAGGAACTCCATCAAAGCATTCCTGACAGATGGCCATCCAGCCTCCGCTTAAAAACCTCCAAAGAGGGAGACTCCACCACACTCTGAGGCAGCCTGTTCCACTGCCGACCAGCTCTGACTGTCAGGAAGGTCTTCCTGAGATTCAAAAGGAATCTCTTTTCCTGTAGTTTGAAACCATTGCTCCTTGTCTTAGCTGTGGAAAACAAATCTGTCCCTTCCTTGACATGACATCCCTTCAAATATTTAAATATGGGTATCATGTCCCCTTTTAAACTTCTTTTTGTAAGGCTAAACATTCCCAGCTCCCTAAGTCGCTCTTCATAGGACATGGCTTCCAGGCTTTTAACCATTTTGGTCGCCCTCCTCTGGACATGTTCCAGGTTGTCAACATCCTTCTTGAATTGAGGTGCCCAGAAGTGGACACAGTACTCCAGGTGAGGTCTGACCAAAGCAGAGTAGAGTGGTACTATCACTTCCCTTGATCTAGACACTATACTCCTATTGATGCAACCAAGAATTGCATTGGCTTTCTTGGCAGCCGCATCACACTGCTGACTCATGTTCAGTTTGTGGTCTACTAAGACTCCTAGATCCCTTTCACAGGTACTGTTGTCTAGCCAGGTATCTTCTATCCTATATCTGTGCAGTTCATTTTTTCTACCTAGGTGTAGGAAGCATTTTCTGACAGAATTGCAAGGGTGCCAATATTTTTGGCCATGACTGTAGGAGCAAAAGAAGACACTCTTCACCTGTGGTCAACAAAACCACTTTCAGATTTGTGAAGGGGAGTCTGGTAGACAATATGCAAAGGAAGACATACAGGGGACCCGGACATGAAAGAAATTGAATCTACTTGGGAACATATGGCAAAACCAAGGGGAATTATGAAGAAATCACATTAGACTTTGAATCTCTGGGAACAAACTGAACGATATTGGGGCCCATGTAATCTTCTCATCCATCCTACCATTACTCAGAAGAGGAACAGAATGGGAAAGAAAATATTCCAGGTGAACAACCGGCTATGAAAGGTGTGCCAGTGTAAGGGATTTGGACTTTGGGACTATGGGCTTTGCTTCCTGGAAGATGGCAAGTGATGGCTTGCACTCCACAAGGACTGGGAAGAATGCATTTGGTCATAGCATGAAGAACTTTTTCAGGAGGACTTTAAACTGAATTAGAAGGGGGAAGGAAATGCAAACTCAGAGGCAAAGAAGGCTTATACGCAATAAGAGGAACAGACCAAACAGCTCTAGTGAGGTCCAGTAATAATCTTAATAAAGACATACGAATCTCTGGTGCCTATATATGAATGGTGTATGGGAAACAAATTGGGACGTGGTGGTGCTGGGGATTAAACTGCAAAGCCTCTGAGCTGCAAGGTCGAAAGATCAGCAGTTCAAATCCACGCAGTGGAGTGAGCTCCCGTCAACTTGTCCCAACTCCTGCCAACCTAGCATTGCGAAAGCATGTAAAAATGTAAGTGGATAAATAGGTACCACCTAGGTAGGAAGGTAATGGTGTTCCGTGTCTAGTCGTGCTCGCCATGTGACCACAGAAACTGTCTATGGACAAACACTGGCTCTATGGCTTGGAAACGGGGATGAACATCGACCCCTAGAGTCAGACATGACTGGACATTTGTCAAGGAGAATCTTTACCTTTACCTTTTTATGGGAAACAAATAAAGAACTGAAAATCCTAGTTCAGGAGAATAAACAGAACTTGATAAGGATAACTGAAACTTGTGGAATGACTCTCATGACTGAAATATCAAATGTTCAAAAAGAACGGATAGGGTGATGGAGTTGCACTATATGTCAAAAATACATATTCCTGCACAGAAATACAGAAAAGTGAGCTTGCTTGTCCCATCAAAAGCATCTGGACTAATATAATTGGGGTGAAAATAAGTGAAACGTGGTACTGAGCACCAATCAAGGAGAAGATGAGGAAGAAACCTTTTAAAAATTGCATGAATTTCAAATAGAAATGATGTATTTATTTATTTATTTGTTTGTTTTATACCCCGCCCATCTGATCTAAAAGACCACTCTAGGCGGCTTCCAATATAGTAAAAACAGTGAAATAATAATAAAAAAACACAAACAATTACATAAATCATACTGTAATAAACAGAATACAACAATAAAATAGAAAATACATAAGGAGAGAATAAACAGAAAAGTCAGATATTAACTGGAGGGAATGCCTGAATGTATAGCCATGTTTTTAATTGACTTTTAAAAGTGCCAAAAGTGGGGACCGCGTGGATCTCAGGAGGGAAATTGTTTCAGAGGCGAGGAGCCACCGCCGAGAAGGCCCGGTTTTGTGTCCTTTCCTCCCTGGCCTCCCTCGGCGTTAAGCTCCTCAGCATCACCTCCTGGCTTGTGCGGGTGATCCGAGTAGATCTAGGTGGGAGCAGGCGTTCCGCCAAGTATCGGGGTCCTAAACTGTTTAGGGCCTTATATGTAAGCATTAACACTTTTTATTATGTAGTAATAATGGGAAATTTCAGTTATCTTCATATCTGCTTGGAGGCAAATGCTGCTAAACATGATCCTTCCAAGAATTTCCTGGCTTGTGTGGCTGATGATTTTCTCCTACAAAAAGTGGAGGACAAAACTAGAGAATTAGCTGTCTTAGACTGGATTCAAACCAGTAAAGATACTTTGATGGCTAAAGTGGCAGTAAAGGGAACTCTGGGGGGAAAGAACCATTTTATACTAGTGTCAGTTATAGATTTTTAATAGAAATATGTGGCAGGAGAATATATGAAAATGTAAGAAATTTGAGTGGGATGTGAAAATGTTGCCCTATGGTGAAAAAGTAAATAATGATGCTTACGTTTTGTGAACA